TTTTTTTTGGTTGGTTGGTTTTGTTTTATTTTGTTTCCCCATAGGAAGAAGATTTGGGGATTTCCCTTGGCATCCCACAGCTGCAGGGGTTATTCTGGCTAGGTACAAACCTCTCTTTCGCTACATTTTTAAAAGCTTCCAGAAATCCATAAGGCTGTGGGGATGGCTAGGGGATCAGGAGCCCGCTGGTTCTAGTCTCGCCTCCTCTGACAGCCACTCTATCTCTCAACACCCTCCCCTTGATTTCTTACAGAATGCAAACCCTGGGGCAGGCAGCGTTATTTCAGGCTATGGTGGTTTAGCTGGGGAGGGAGGAATCCTCTAGGGTTTCTCTGGGTCCCCTGTGTCCATCTGACCCTACAGCCATGCTCAATTTTGCTAGTCCTAGTGGATTCGCTTGACTCCCGAGTCCATCTGAGAAACCTGCAAATACCACCTTCTCCTACTGCAAGCACTTCAAGTATCATCCTATTTGAGAAGGTCCATGCCCTAGAGAGGAGGCCTCTCTCTCTACACCCTTTTGGTATCTTAAATATGCAGAACAGATCTTCTTAAAAATAGAAAGAACAGGAATAGACTGCTGGCTTGCATAAACATAATGTATACATCTGGGGAGAGATGGCTTTCACAGCTGCTGCTGCCTGATTTTGATGTCGACTGGAGACAGAGGAGCCTGGTGTGTGTAAACATGGACATTTAAGCTATATTAAGCAGAGAGACAGGCACCCTGGTGAGTGAGGAACACTGGGAGAGTGTCTTCTGGGACAGTCAGTATAATGTAAATAGTGTTCCATACCTAAATTTTACATTTATTATAGAATAAAGTTGCCAGCTTTAGGGATCTGAAGTCCAAGGTCTTGGAGTCAATAGCGTAAAGAGGCATGGAAATGCTGACACAATATTAGTTTATGTGTGCAGATGGGCCAGTTCTGTAACAACAATTTTGCAGTGTAACAAGAGATTTCGCAGTGGATTTGATTCTTTTGCCACATCAGAAATGTGTTGCATCCAATAAATCATCTAGAGGCTGGCACACAGCTAGAGTATACACAAAAATGAAGTACGTGCAAGAAAAAAGCTAAAGAAAAAGTGGTTGTTCATTGATTTGTAGGAGGACAGAAGAGAGAAGGGGAAAAGGGATCTCTTGTTGATCCAGAAACTAGAATGAAACTATGCAGCTTTTTAATCCGTTCCCCTGCAGAGACAAGTAGAACAGAAACACTCATTAAGCAGAGCAAAGTAACCTCTCCTGGAAGCATTTTAATAAACTATTGGAAGGTCCATGGGCTCCTGATGTATTTTGATCCACTGTTCATGAGGAACTGCTTTTCACTCGCTTTACATTTTTGCATCCACGAACATAGCTATAGGTGTTGTTGGCTCTATAGGTACTTTGCTGGCCCTGCCCTTCCAGTTTTTGCAGATGTGAATGGCACCAGTAGTGAGCAGCCAGGTCAGTGAAGAACTGGGGATCTGGAGCTTTGTATACCAGGGAAGCAACATCATGATGTGGGCTAGAAATTGTTGGTGATAATCACAATTTCAATTTCATTTCAGTTTAAAATAACAAGTTATAAAAATCTAGCAGCAGATACCACAGTGAGAAAGGTGCTATTATAATGTTCATAATCTTTCTAGAGTAGTTATTTGTCTGAACTAGGTTCTTCATCAGTATAATTGTCTAATTCCACTGTCGGGATAAAAGTTGGACACCAGTTTCAGTTGCACTAGTGGGAAGCAAGGATTCTTCTCTGGTTGAATGTTCAACAGCTTGGTGTTCATGTTTTCTTTCCTAGGTGCATCTCCATTTTTTTTGTGGAGTTTCAGGCATACTTTGGGCAGGATTACGCCAGAACAGCTTGGATCCACTCTATTGCCGACTGTGCTACGATGCTATGTGGTGTGTATTACCCAGTAAGACTAATGTGGCTGCTTTTTCTTCAGCTCCATTTGGTTTTAGCATGCTCACAAGTTGGTGGAGTCAGCTGGGGAAGACAGATACTGTGGGCTCTCTGGGATATGGTATATTCAAGCTGCTTCACCCAGCACAGTTGGGCAGGAAAGGAGCATCTTCATAGCACAGGAAAGAAGTGGAACTTTGTTTTGTCAGATGATGCAAGTTTTTAGAAAGGTACTTTTGTTGAGGTCTAGTGGGACAAGTCATGTTTGAGAGCCACTAACTGAGCACATTTTTCTTTTGTCTTTTGATTCAAATCGTATCTAAGACTTAGCACAGGATGTACCTCTTGCCTTAAGATCGAGTCACAGTCATCCTCCTTTTTAGCAGACCTGTATGTTTATAATTGGTCTTTTCCCTTGAAAGAAAATTAATGTTAATAAAAAGGACATGCATCAACACAGCAGTTGTACTGAATTTCTCCTGTATTTACTATAAAACTGTGCAGCTAGGTGAAAATTCATGCCCTAATCCTATGAAAGGGGGTTAATCCATAAGAATTGCTGCGACGGCACAGGGCCACAGCTGGAGCCAGACAAAGCAACTCTCCTGTGTCAGCCAGGTTATATGCTGGGGAAAAGAGAGAAATAAGTATAATCATGCCCTTGCATTGCAAGCAGTGGAGGGGGAGGGGGCTGGTGATGACACCCCATGGTACAGGCAGGGTGATCTGGGAGCCAGCAATGTTTGCTCTGCAGTGAACTTCTGCAGTGAGTTCTGCAGTGAACTGCAGGAAGGGAGTAGCAGCCCTGAATATGGTCCAAAAGATGTGACACCTCTCCTGTTGGGGTCTCACACAGAGCCATCAAGGCCAGAGAGGAGCAAGGAAGGATGCCTGAAATTACTGAGGGCTGAAGTGCAAATTCCAGGTGGGGGAAAGTCTTATTGTTATAAGTGCGGAGTGTGAGCCGTCACTAAGGCCTCTCCTGATCCCAAAAATTAGAGTAGCTGTGTCCCAGAATGACTTTCATCTAGTAAAATGGCTGCTGAGAAAGCGACTGTAAATTTCAGTTTTATCCTGACTTCCAGGAAAACAATTTTTAGAAGTTTTTTTGGTGCTCACAACATTGTGATCAGGGGGGATGTTTGAAGATCACTCTGTGTACCTGTGATGACAGTTTTCTTCTGGTTGCCTACTGCTTCCTTTTCCTTGATGACTCTTGAAACAAACTGGGTGTAGACCTGCCATTAACCACCAGCTTTATTTATTTCTTTGAAGCTCCACTTGGGAGTTTGATCAGTAATCATGTATCCTGCCAAGTTGGAATCATGCTAGGAGGCCTGCTTGCATCTACTGGACTAATTCTGAGTTCATTTGCCACCAGCCTGGAACACCTCTACTTATCATTAGGAGTCCTTACAGGTAGGAGGCATTCAGCCCCTTTCTTCATGCCAGGAAAACAACACAGGAATGTTGAAAATGATGGTACTTCCTTTCAAGAGTGGTGATTCTCTACGACATATTGCTACTGCACTGGTCAACAGAGATACTCAGGCCTGTTCCCTTCATTTGTGAAGAGAGGCGTTGGCTGCCCCTGTGGGGGCTTCAGCACTCAGTGAGTCTCATACAGCCCAAATGCAGAACCTTGCAAAAGTAACTTTTTAACTTCTGTTAGAGAGACGACTATGGATAAAGTTCTGAAATTATGGGAGGTCAGGGAGAACTGATGTTGTAGGTGATACACAAAAATGTTTCCTTTTTTGCCTGGAGGGTGGGAGGATTTTATTATGGTAGGAGTTCTAGACTGCCCAAAAATATTTTCATGTTAAAACCAAAAAAAAGTATCAGTCAAAACAAAAGAGTAAGTGCACAGAGGAGCATTGGGTGATTACCTGGTACCTGAGCTGTGCACCTTAATTTTGTCTGCATTGCATTTTGTTTGAAACAAATTGTTGGTTGGTAGTCCTGCAGTAGCAGCTTCTCTGTATTCGGGTATGGTGGTAACAATTGCCTCTGCTCTGTCCTACCTCCCAGTGTTCACTGTGCACAGAGAAACTTGAGAGGTGCCCGTGGTCACATTGACATTCCTTCCTTGTTAATACTGACCTGGTAGCCACGGTGATATAAGCCCTTGTACTTGATTCCCTGCTGTTTAGTAACAAGTTGGTGGAATTACTGAAGTTCACATGCTGCCAATAGCTTGTTTGTTTAAAGAAAAAAAAAATCCTTATTGTGGTGCATGTCACTCCTGTATTACAATGTTAATCTTTGGCAAATGTGTTCATAACAAATGAAAAGGCTCCTTGTAACTCAAGGTATTGTGCCACATACTATGCTAATGCCACTGAGGCTTCCTTAGTGAGAGCTGCTGTGAATACCGAGGTGCAAAAGCAGTTGGACTTTGTACATGGAGTTGCAAAGAGCCAGTTTTACAAGCAGTGAAATTCTAGTCTGTGGGGACCGATTAATGGAGAGGTGAACTGCTGCTAAGGGCTACAGGAACTGAGAAAATAACTGATGAAGGTCTAAATCCATAAAAGCTGCATGACTTGAAACTGTAAGGAGTGAAGCAGAGGTGAGATGGGGGATTGGGAATAAGTAGCAGAGCTCCTTCTGAGAGCCCCAAACTTTGCAGTTCAATTTTCCACAGGACCTTTATTGGCTTTTTTTGGACCTATTTCTCCCTGCCAACTCACTAAAATAATAAATGGTGCATACACCAAACAGAGTGTGATTTTCACAGCTTATGAGTGATGATGTCTAGCTCAAGGCTGCTCTTCTGGCTCTGCTGCCCACACAAGTCCAGCCCCAGCTCTGTGCTCTGCTCCTCCCCTCATCTCCTGAGGGGTGGGAGACCTGGCATCTGCTGCCCAGAGTCCCTCTGATCCACTTACCCTGTCCTGGCAGGCTTAGTGCCAGCCCCACACAGTGCAGCCTTTGAGGAGGAGGAGGCAAGCTGTTTACATCACCAGGTGATTATCTCCTCTGTTAGCAAGTTCTGCCAAAGGCAGTGGGGACCATTTTACCCTCAATGTAGGACGTGCTCTAAAACCCTAGTAGGAACTAATTTCTGCAGCTGATTTAGAAATAGATGTTTTAGTGTTGAAGCAGGCCTTTGATGATTAAAATCTGTTCTCTGGTTCTGCAGCAGAGACCACCATCTTTTCCCAGTCCAAGAGAGGGATCTTACTTGTTTACTAAATTGGACAAGGGTTTGTTTTCTAAGGCTTTTCCCCTCTTTCTACTTGTAGGTAGGGACTTAAAATGGTCAGGACTCCGTGCAGCTGCTGCATGGAGTTTGTTTAGCTGACTAAAAACCATTTATTGTAGAATATTAGTAACAGAGACAGATTCTTTGTACTGTGTTTTGGAGAGCTGAAAATTAATGTTCAGGGTGGCAACAGACCGAAACACCAGGTAATGCCTCATCAGGACAGTGTGCTCAGTACCAGCATCTGTGCAGACCCTGGGGGAAGACCTCATCTTGCATCCAGGAGAGGCCGAAACACCCTCTCTCTCATCTTTATTGGTCATCCTTGTTGTTGTTATTAAGCGAACACCATCACTTTTCTGAGCCCTGTTATCATGGATTGAGGATGATCCATTAGGTTTGTCAAGTCAGTGACGCTAACAGTGAAAGAGAGGAGGCATCCTGTTTTCTCTTCACACTGTGACCAGGCTGCATGATACAGGATCCGAAAAGGCTTCCTGTTTGTTTGTGCTAATGAAGGCAGACGACGCGGTTTAATGTGTTCCTTGTACCGTGCCTGGCGCTGAGCCCTCTGCACTGTGCTGTCTCTTCCAGGCCTGGGGTTTGCACTCTGCTATTCTCCAGCCATCGCCATGGTGGGCAAATACTTCAACAGAAGAAAAGCGCTGGCGTACGGAATAGCCATGTCGGGAAGCGGAATCGGCACCTTCATCCTGGCCCCTGTGGTTCAGCTCTTAATTGAGCAGTTTTCCTGGCGTGGAGCTCTGCTCATCCTGGGAGGTTTTGTTTTAAACCTCTGTGTTTGTGGTGCCTTGATGCGGCCGATTGCTCTCAAGGAGGACCGTGGAACTGCTCCCGAGTTTCTTGAACAGGATTATGTCCCTGAGGCACAGGAACGAGGCTTAAAGCGAACGTCCATCTGTTCACCTCTAATCCAAGTGTGGTCTCATGAGTGTTTATGCTACTGCTCGTGGAAGGAATATGACTTTTTACTGATGCCAGGCTTTATGGTGCTGGCAGTGTCGATTTTATTTATGGCGTATGGCTGTAGCCCTCTTTTTGTCTACCTAGTGCCTTATGCTTTGAGCGTTGGAGTGAGTCATCACCAGGCTGCCTTTCTCATGTCCATACTTGGTGTCATAGACATCGTTGGTAATATCACCTTTGGATGGCTAACAGACAGAAGGTAATGGTTTACCTAAGCTAATTGAGTCTAGGCTGTACCTGGTGGGAGGCTGGAGGCAAGTGAAGTGTAATATCTGTAAAAGTTACCATTATGGACTTTTTCTGTAGCATGTGTAGCTTTAAAAAACGCCCTAAACCATCACACAGTCTTAACTTCCAGAACTGTTTACTATTTCATGTTTTTGTCTCTTCTGACTTTGTTCCATTCTGCTGGTTGGTTTGTTTTCGTTTTTTGTTTGGTTGGTTTATGGTTCTTGTTTTCTGAAGAAATTATATTTGTTCAAAGCTCTTGCATGTGACAGTGGGTAAAGGACTGAGAACTCAGTTAGAACTGAGATGCCGTGTCCAGCGAAAATATTTTTCTCTTCTGGTTTGAAATTTGCAGGTGTCTGAAGAAGCATCGGCACTTCTGCTACCTCTTTGCTGTGGGAATGGATGGCCTCTGTTGTCTTTTCCTGCCAGTTCTCCAAAACTTCCCCTTGCTTGTGCCTTTCTCGTTTACCTTTGGCTACTTTGACGGAGCCTACGTAACACTGATCCCTGTCGTGACAGCAGATGTAGTGGGAACCTCTTCCTTATCATCAGCACTGGGCGTTGTGTATTTTCTGCATGCCATACCATATCTAGTCAGCCCACCTGTTGCAGGTCAGTTCACAAATTACTTTCTTATAATCTTATCACTATTTCAGATTTACCTATTGATGGGATGTAAAAGGAGAGGAAGAACAGCAAATGCACACTGGATGTGGAGGTAGGCCCTAGGTGGGGAAATAACACACCTAGACTTTCATAAGGCTTTAGATCTCACTTAATTCCTGTCTTGATAGCATAATTTCTACATAGGGAGCAAGATGAAATTTTTAAAAAACCCAACAGTATAGAATGGGTCTTCTAAGAGCTGTTACATCACTACATTCATGTAGTTCAGAAATTGTGCAAGGAGAAGGAACAAAAGGTTTCACTGTGAAATTACACAATTTTGAAAGTGTAACCTAAAGAGAGTTTTATTCCAAGGTTGAGGGGTTTTTTTTGTGTGTGTGGAGGATATATTTCCAAACTGCTTTGAACAGGTGGGTGAGGCACCTTCACTACTGTTTGATCACAAGCTCATCACTGTAATATCTAACCATAATTTTCTCCATTAGTTCCATTACAGCAAAGTAAAGTTGAGAGCTGTGTTCCTGTTATTCTTTAGAAGGAACCTGATGCAGTTTTGAATATTGTGGAAGGATAGAGATCTTTTTTTCAAATAGCCATGTATACATGTCTTGCATATTTTGTCATCTGTTCACAATTAATCTCTGCTTCTGAAGATTTTAATTTCATATTCCATAGCAAAAAAAATTGCAAAGTGGCATTATTTTAAATGATACATGAGCCTAGGGCACAGCTCACTAGATGTTTCTGTATGAGGATCTCATGCACACAGTATTGAATCCGAGGGCTCTCTAGGCATGTCTAAAGACTGACAGTTAAAGCCATGTAGTTGAAAGGTGTTAATTTAGCATTGTGGTGATGATGGCTGTACCTGTTCTCATAGGTTTGACTCCTAAACAAAAGCATAAAAAAACCCATAAAATTCTTATCTGCCTGCTGAGGACAAACCCCTCACTGCTCCAGGATGTAGAAGTACAGTGGTGGTGATGTAAACCTGTATAGTTTTATTGTATTGAGTTGCGATCACTCCAGAAGTTTATAAAACTGTTAATCACACAATTTGTAAATTACCAGAATTTTGGTGGGCCTTCAAAAACCACACGGTTTGTTTTCCTACAGGCTGGCTTGTGGACACAACTGGCAGCTATACTGCATCATTCCTTCTGTGTGGATTTTCTATGATGTTTAGTTCAACGTTGTTGTGCTTCGCAAGACTGGCAAAGAAAATCAAAGGAACACATTTGCAGTCACTCCCCAATGATACTGGCACCAAACAGCACATCTGGACAAATGGGGCAATAGCTTATTCTGTCACAGCAGAATTAGACCAGAAGAATGTTGAATTTTTGGCTGCAGATACAAACAGCTACAGCAACAGATGACAGGCACTGTCAGGCTTCAGCACTGCACAGCTGTCACTGGGACGGGTGGCTCTGCAGTGTGACACTGTTGAAGATGTTACTCCTGTGAAACAAGGCCTCTCTCAATTAGATTTTTCAGTCATACTTTACTTGGCTAAAACCTACATACAGTGACAGTCATAGCAAGTTAATGCAGTAATAGATGAACGCTAGGCTGTAAATAAAGAGAGTTTGTAGATACAAATGTTCAGAGCTTTATTTGCAATGCAGTATATCGACTCCACAGGTAATCTCAAATATGGTAATTTGCTATAATAAAAGGAAAACTACAAAGCAATCAGTCGCCAAAACTGAGCAATAAAGCTTAAAGTATTTCAAAAATAGTATTAATGAAATAAGCTTTTTGGTGTTCTGGTCTATTACATTTCAATGGACTAATCACAAACACGACCAAAAACCTCCACATTTATCAGTCTGCATTAATTTCTTAGCAAATAACTGTTTCAAATGCCAAAGCCTTTTTTTTTTTTTTTTTTTTTTGAGAAAATCTGGCAGGAAAATGTGATTTATGCTGAAAGTACCTCTAAAACAACTTTAAATTTTACAGTGTGCCTGAATTTTGTACATAAGTTGCAATTTAATTTCAAATATGGTTTTATACCTACTTTCCCATGCTCCCTACAGCAAAATTTTGAGGTGCTTGCACTGCTTTTTTCCCTGGATATCTTTAAAGCTTGAATTTCTAAACATTGATGTTCCAGGTATGATCCTCCAGCTGATTTTTGTCTGGAAAAGGTGCTGTGGCTCCCCTGCTGCCTGAAGAGGAGTAGCTTTGTGCCAGGGGAGTAGGCATGCTGCTAGACAAACCTGCTTTAGCTGCATGAGGTGGAAGCAGCTTAAAGGCAGCCCAGGAGGCTAGAGGAGAGACTTATGTTTCTTCCAAATACAGAGCCTCTTCCTCCTGTGAAACCAGCAGCTGTTGAAGAAAGTTAGAGTCCATGCAAGCAGATGACTGAGAAACTGCCCACTCCACAGGCTGTTAGTAAAGAGGATGTTGGCAGACAAAGATGCTCTCTGTGTATTCCAGTGGCAAGTCTGTCCCTTCTTGGATGCAGGAGCTGCAAATGACTCGTTTGTGCCAGCTGAAAAGCTGGTCAGGTCACTTGATGTGAATGGCCAGAACACAACAGCTGTGATTTGCAGTTGGTTTCCTACTGCTTGTGTGAGGACTATACTACAGCTGGCTGCTTCACAGGAGCTATAGACTCAGTGTAGCTCGTGGGGTAAATTACTGACACGATGGTTTAATAACCTGGTGTTTCTACATTCGCAGAGTGAAACTGTTGTCAGCAGTGGGGGAACTTTGCATTCTGCAATGTAAATCATTGCTGTGTTTTGATGCTGTATAAAGTTCATTGATGCTGCATTCTGCTCATTAGCAGATTGATCAGAGTCCAAATAATTTTTGTCCTTGCGGAACTAGTAGTTTTGTTAATCATCTGCAGCATGTTCAATGGTTGCTCGTGGTGTCCTATTCCACTCTGTTATTCAGAAGGGAAAACATAGACTGGGGTTCATCAGTTTGATCTAGATCAAGAGTATAGCCCTAGGGGTATAATGTAGTTTTTATATATATGGATAGAATGTGTATTTAGTAGTATTAATCATGCATACTACAAATATAACATTAAAATTGTTTGACTTCGGTTGTCTGTGCTCAGACAAGGCATTTCTCTCTGCACTGCTTCAGAAATGTGGTCAGAGCCAGTAGCATGATCTACATGAACAGACCACAGAGTAAGAGACAGGAGTGCAAAACTGCTTAAAACTAATGACATAACTGTTTTTCATCTCTGCATGGCAGCTGAGTCCTGGGCCCTAACATACGTTTTAACATATGTTCCTAAATAAAAGACAAAAATTATCCATTAATTTCTCTTAATCACTTAGGAAATATATACATATTTAAAAAAATAAAAAAAGTGGCTTTATTAATTAGTAGTGATGAGGATATTGGTTTTAGATCTTAATGTAAAATTTTAACATTAAAAAAAGTAGGGAATAGTGTGGTCTACAAAGATGATAAGCTATTTTCAACAAGTTATAAGTCACTACTGTTGTTTACTTTACAAAAATTTAATTACTTTGTTTACCATATCATAACATGTCAGCAGTTGTTCATGCCAGAAATGCATATTGTAGAAGCCTGTTGGAATAATACTTTATGTATTTTTATCTTAGTAAACAGTACTGTGTGATAGATTAACATTCAATTTTTTTTCCCCTGTGTATTTGTTTAAGGCAGTATTTCTTATTTTAAATATCTTATTTAGCAGAAAATATTCAACTGGTTTTACACACAGACCTTTTGCAGAAAATGGCAGAATTATTTCAGGGTTTTCTAACACTCTTAAAATGAATTAAGCCAGTGGACAAAATCTTATATACCAGAATAATGCTTTCTGTGTATGAAACATACTGAAATGTCAGCCCACCTCTGAGTGGAAGAAATGACAGTACAATGGAGGTTTGCAAGGCCTCATCCCAAACTGCCACACTGTGGCCCACATAACCCAAACTGAGCAGCTCATCTTAGTTCTGCCATGTGAAATGTTTCAGGCAGTGCATTATAGAGGTCTCTGGATTATACCATTTTGTTAAAATCACTTAGTGGATCTGCAACTGTTGGTTTTTTTCAGAGATTATAATATTCAGGCTGCTCTCCACAGAGGTTGTTGCCTAGCATGACACAGTGCAGCAACAGGCAGAGATACCTGGGCTAGCTGTGAACAATTTCCCCAGCTCGTACTGCTTGTTCCCACCAGCCCTGTTGAGCGCTGATGGAAAGGAGCTTGGCTGGAGCACTGCACCACTGAACCTGCCTGGCTTCCCATGACAGCACGGTCTGACTTGGGACAGAAACAGATGGATCATCCCCCAGTGAATCCTGCCTGGGACAATACTCCAGTCTGTGCAGTGAACAGTAATTCAGTGTGAGCAAAACTGCTTACAACTGCTGAAGTTATCTCATCTGTTTCCATTCCATGAGGTTTGAAATGGGGAAATCAGAGTTCCTTTGAAACGGATTATGTTCTAGTGATGTTATTTTTGTTAAATCAGCTTTGGAACATTTAATAAATTGTGTGATCAAAACTTGTGTGAAAACAGCATTGGAAAAGTCAAGTACCTTCTGTTAAAAAATAACCCTGTTTAAAAAAAAAAAAAAAAAAAGAGAGAGAATACTCTTTGAGCCTGAAATATTTCTGCCTGCTGGGATGATAATTTATCTCCAGAAAAACAATCATTGTCTGTGCTACTACATGGTGAATATATTTTATACTGCCACAACAATTCCTTGTTTGCTTTATAAAGTGTTGCAAATTTCTGTGAGAAGGAAGAGCTTAAGTTAAATGATAACAGTACTTCAAGGGCAGCACAGTGAAATCCTTAGTCAGGATCACCTCAATAAATAATACCTCCTTCTAAGTGACTATTCTGGTGTATTCCAGTAGTTTTCTATATTGTTTTGAAGTTGCTTTTGATACATAGCATAATACTCCTTGCAGGGTTATCTTCACTCTCTTTTTTCCCCTGCACTGCTAGTGCAGTGATGTATTCATACTTGAGTGGAGACTGAGAAGTCTGTGGTTCTGGTTTTGCCCATTGGACTTGGACACTATGACATGTGTGTTTCATTTTGTCCACTTCCCCGAAGCTCGAGTTCAGGCTCTTCCCCTGTGTCTCCACGTCAGGCAATGCAGCAGCAGCACCACCCTGTGGGAAATAACATTTCTCCTCATTTACAAGCCACTAGGCAAAAACTAGAAGGCACCGTCTGCACAGAGCATCCCGGGCCCTTGCCGTCCAGCACAATCTTCCAGGACGTATGGAAGATAATCACAGAATGTTAGGGGTTGG